GAGAGAGAGAGAGAGAGAGAGAGAGAGAGAGAGAGAGAGAGAGAGATTAGAGAGAGAGCGTCTACATTTAACGTATCTCTCAAATCCGTACGTTTCACTGGAAGTTTTTCAGCGCGCTATTTCCTATTTCCTCCCCCCCCCCTTCTGATGGGTCGTCTCACTAATCCGGGTTCACCGTTTAACCACTTCATTGTGGACAGAACACGGCTCGAGTGCTTATAAAACAGATGGAGCGCGCGTACGTGCGTGTCTGTGTGCGCGTGCTTGCGTGCGTGTCTGAGTGTGCGTGCGTGCGTGTATGCAGGAATGCATGCACGCGTGTCTGCGTGGATGGTTTGCGTGCGTGCGTGTTTGTGCTTGCCTGTGTGAACATCTGTGTGCGCGCGTGCGTGTTTCTCTTTGCGTGTCTGCATATCTGTATGCGTGCGTGGGCGCGCGTGTGTGCGCGTGCGTGCGCAGGCGTGTTTGGCTGTATTCGCGTGCGAGTACACAATTTAGTGATGCGTCGCCGAGCGAACGACGTCTGTAATATCGACTAAATGACAGATTGATGAATGCCTATTATATGCCATTCAAACACGTCCTGTATATATTCACGTCACATGTAGCCGCATGAGAGCGGCAGCGTCGCATGTATTACCAGAAGTTTTGCGTTAGAACGTGAGTGGAAATTGCAAGAGCATCAGTCTCGTGCTACTGCTGCTGCAATCCCATCACCGCAAAGTCCCAGCGATTGAGTTTCGCAGTTAACAGCCGTAGCGTGGTGCGCGCGTGCGTGCGTGCGTGCGTGCGTGCGTGCGTGCGTGCGTGCGTGCGCGTGTGTGTGCGTGCCTGTCTATGTGTGTGCGTGTGTGCGTGTGTGTGTGCGTGTGTGCGTGTGTGCTTGTGTGTGTGTGCGCGTGCGTGCGTGCGTCTGTGTGTGTGTGTTGGGAGAAGGGCGGTCTGATTTCTAAACAACGTGAAAGTTAACGTGATGAAAAACGTAAAAAACCTCTCCTAGGTAATTCTTTTTCCTCGATTTTTTCCTCGGAGTAATTGAATCCGGGATTGCGTTACAGAGACGTCCTCGCGGTCGCCCGTGTGCCATGCAACAATCGTACTCTCGGTGCGTGAGTGACGAACACGAGCACATGCATGCACGCACGCACACACACACGCATGCACGCACGCACACACACGCGCACGCACGCACGCACGCACGCACGAACGAACGAACGAACGCACGCACGTACGCACGCGTGCTCGTAATAGCTAACTACTCAACGAAGGCAATGGCGCTGCTATATATATATGTATAAGTTACGACAATCGATGCGAACACTTCACGCATTAAAACTGCGATGCTCAGTTATGTACAGCTGTGACGCTCAGTCATGTACAGCTGTGATGTGCAGTCATGTAGAGCTGTGACGCTCAGTCATGTAGAACTGTGACGCTCAGTCATGTAGAGCTGTGACGCTCACAGCTCTACATGACTGAACGTCACAGCTCTACATGACTGAACGTCACAGCTCTACATGACTGAGCGTCACAGCTCTACATGACTGATCGTCACAGCTCTAAATGACTGAGCGTCACAGCTCTACATGACTGAGCGTCACAGCTCTACATGACTGAGCGTCATGGCTGCATATAACTGAGCATCACAGCTCTACATGACTGAACATCACAGCTCTACATGACTGAGCGCCACAGCTCTACATGACTGAGCGTCACAGCTGTACATAACTGAACATCACAGCTCTACATGACTAAACATCACAGCTCTACATGACTGAGCGTCACAGCTCTACATGACTGAGCATCACAGCCCCTACATGACTGAACATCACAGCTCTACATGACTAAACAGCACAGCTCTACATGACTGAGCGTCACAGCCCCTACATAACTGAACATCACAGCTCTACATGACTGAGCATCACAGCCCCTACATGACTGAACATCACAGCTGTACATAACTGAACATCACAGCTCCTACATGACTAAACATCACAGCTCTACATGACTGAGCGTCACAGCTCTACATGACTGAGCGTCACAGCTCTACATGACTGAGCGTCACAGCTCTACATGACTGAACATCACAGCTCTACATGACTGAGCGTCACAGCTCTACATAACTGAGCATCACAGCTCTACATGACTGAGTGTCACAGCTCTACATGACTGAGAATCACAGCTCTACATGACTGAGCGTCACAGCTCTACATGACTGATCGTCACAGCTCTACATGATGACTGAGCGTCACAGCTCTACATGACTGAACGTCATAGCTCTACATGACTGAGCGTCAGTCATGTAGAGCTGTGACGCTCAGTCATGTAGGGGTTGTGATGCTCAGTCATGTAGAGCTGTGACGCTCAGTCATGTAGGGGTTGTGATGCTCAGTCATGTAGAGCTCTCTCTCTCTCTCTCTCAAATTTCATCCATCTCCACGGTGGCGTTACTCGCCTTCTCGTGTCATTTCATCATTATTTAAAGCGCGCGTCTGCGTGTGTGCGTCTGCGCGCGCGTGTGTG